CAAAGAGAAAATAAAAGAGAGAAAGAGGGAAAGTGACAAATCAAGAAACAGACTCCTAACTATAGGGAACAAATTGATGGTTACCAGCGTGGAGGTGGGTGGGGGGGTTAAATAGGTGATTGGTATTAAGGAGGGCACTTGTTATGATGAGCATGGTGTATTGTATGGAAGTGTTGAATCACTATATAGTATGCCTGAAACTAATATAACACTATATGTTAACTAACTGGGATTAAAATAAAAACTTTAAAAAGCCAGAAAAAATTTACAGAAAAATAAAGTGAAAACCAGCAAGACACTTCCACAAAGCAGATACTTGAATGGGTGAATAAGTGAATAGATTATATCTTAATATATATTTTAGTTATTAGTCACCTTTCAACCTCCTTTTAATATTCCTCTCCCAGTGCAGTGGTGACACAGTGGAAAGAACCCTCAAGCTTTTCCTCAAGAGTTTTCAAAAACTCTGGACCAACTTTTGCTCTTTTCTTCTGCTGTGGTACTAGGACTGTTTCATAATTATTGTGTTTCTTATGTTTCTGTTTGTGGAGGCCCTATTCCATCCTTTATTCCTTCCTTCCCCTGCTCCCTCCTTCCCTTTTTCCATTTCTGAATTTCATAGAAATCTGTTAACAGCTGTCACGTGCCCCCACCATTATCTTTTTAGTGCACTCCCACCTTCAGTTCTGTTTGTCAGCAGATCCTTATTCTAATTTCTTATTGGAGTATTTTCTTGTGGATATCATGCTGGTTCCTTTTTACTTATTATTCATATTTGTACTGGAGGAGTTCTTTTTGGAACCACTAGTTTGGAACAGATAATTAGGGATAGTGGGTCAGTGTGTTTCTGGAAACTTGACTCTGGGTCTGTTTTCAACTTCTTCTTCTTCTTCTTTTTTTTTTTTTTGTTAGCAACAATACCCTATGGAGTTCCATTCTACTTTTAGCTAGCAAGACACCTGGCTCAGAGCGGAGGGCTTTCTGCCAGTTTTTGTGGTACATTGTATAACTTATATCATTTAAGTGATCTGAGATCAAAATACTCTTTCCCTGTCTCCCTGGAACTTGGTCCAATTTTTACTGTACTTGGTAGCTCTTCTTTATAGATGATTTTGGCTTATAGGCATCTTCTAGTTTAGTCACAGATAATGTTTCCTTCTGTTTCTCCTTCTCCCTGTTATTTTTCATGAATTTCAAAAAGAAGAACAGAAGGCTTGCAATAATAGTTTTTAACGTCTTCTGCCTTTATTCTTACATTTTCGTTCTACACTGTGCACCCTGCCTGGTCAGAAGCACAAATGGGAATGTGTGACTTCCTGCTTCAGAACCTTCATTTAGCTTAGAAGGTTAAATTACCAACACTTTGAAATGGGCCGTCAGGCCCTGTGTGTAACAGCCCCTGCCTTTTCTGTCTCTAGTCCCAGCCAATTACTCCTTTACATTTTAGCAACACGGAGTTACTTGCCTGTCTGATAGCATATTATGAAGTTTCCTGTCTGAATTCCTTCTCATATGCCTGGTGTTTCTGCCTAGGCTTCTTCTCCTTTCTTACTTACCTAACAAGCTTCTGCTTCTCCTTCCAAGCCTGGCTTACATGGTCCTTGCTTGTTGAAAGACCTTACTATTTGGGGACAGAATGGGTCTCTCTCCCATGCTCCCTCTTTACTTTGTACATGTTTTGACGATTATACTGTTTTCACTGTAGTCGGGTGTTTACGTATTTTTCTCCTTCACTAGGTTGAATTCCTTGAAATTGGTATCTTGTTCATCTTTATATCCCTGTCACAAGGCACAGGGCCTGGTACCTAATAGGGGCTCAAATAATAATTACCATTTAGGTTTGGGTTATTATAAGTAGAAAGATTGAAAATAGGAGGGAGATTTTAAAGTCCAGGACTTGAGTTCTTGTTTTTATTATTTTACTTTGCTGAATTTGAATGAGATATTAATAACAGGTTTGAAAAAAGGGGGGGTGCCTGGGTGGCTCAGTCTGTTAAGCGTCCGACTCCGGCTCAGGTCATGATCTCACGGTTCACGAGTTCGAGCCCTGCGTCAGGCTCTGTGCTGACAGCTCAGAACCTGGAGCCTGCTTCGAAATCTGTGTCTCCCTCTGTCTCTGTCCTACCCCCACTAGTACTCTGCTTCTCTCTCTCTCTCAAAAACAAATAAAGCATTAAAATTTTTTAATGTAAAAAGAACCTCACAAAACAAATAAAACTAAGCAAAATCAAGTGCAGATACTCTGTGGACCGTAATAAAAGACTAGTACTGAGGAAAGAGGTGAGGAAGACCCGAAATCCTGGAGTTATTTGAATGCTAGTCCTACTTTGCGTTATATGAGCAGATGCTATCTCCAGGATAAAGTGTATCTGGAGGAGAAACGAACAGTCTGCAACCCAGCCACAAGTCTTGCAGGTGCAGTGGGAGGGAAACGCAGTGAGCTTTCCCGCATTCCTCAGTTGTCAGGTTGAGGAAGATTATCTGTTCCTGGGGCTCAACCTCTCTGTTTTAAAAATAACTACTTAGATTGCTGATTTCATGAATTTCCCTCTCTCCTGAGCTAAGTTCTGTAAAACTTTTTATGCCCATTTCCAGCAATAATGGATGATGTGCATGTCTCAGTAGTATAATTTAGTGACTCGTTAAGAGTGAAAGGTGAAATACTGAGTGAGGATTGAAATACTCCATATGTCTTAAAATTCCACAAATCCAGGCATGTGGGAGACATTCAGCACAGCAAACTCAACATGACTAATCCTTAGAAAACACTCTGAAATTGATAGTTCTTCCCCACTGCCTGGACGTACCGCAGAATGCATCCCCTTGGGACTTGAACGAAGCCATCTGGAATTTTTCAGATTTAATATTAGTGCTTTGCCTTCACAGAAAGGCATTGAAAGCTCTGCTTTGCAAGCCTTCCACCTGAGGCATTTAGTCGTCTGTTGGCGTGGATTTTTCTTTGTTCCTATAGCGCCGTGAGAAATTAATTGCAAACAATCCAAGATGTGTTTTTGCTTGATTCCCGTCACAAAACACCAGGGCTGAAGATGTTACCTTGTTGCTGGCTCTTTTTGATGCCCTAGAAATCGTAAGAAATTATCTTATTTCAAATACATGCTTCTCGGTAGACTCAACTTCCAATCCCATTCAGCTCTATTCAGCTCTATTCAGCACTCTCTCCCCGCTGTGTTTTTCCTAATCGTTAAGGCAGATTGTGGGTCTCTTTTGCTGGGTGCATTGGATGTCTTTTGGCTCTTTGAGTGCTCACATTATCCCCATTCCAGAGCTTGGAGCTTGTCTCCTCCATAGGCCCTTTCCTCATGGCTGGCCTAGGAGCTGGCAAACCCGTCTGGCAGACAGTTTGCAGGGGACATGATGGTTTTTTGAGGAGCTCCATAATGTGTCTGAGTCTAAACACCAGTGTGGTGGGGCTGACATTAATTCAATTCAACACATTTCAGTCAGGGGCCTATTCTATACTAAGTAAGACATGGTCCTATTTTTCTTTTTGCTCACAACTCAGTGGGGAAGACTAGTGTCTGGATGGTATAAAATAGGGTACTTCCAAGAAGAGCATAGATTGTCTTCCCCTGGGGAGACCAGTGGCATTTCTCAGGCAGCGAACTAACTCTGCGGGGGACTGGCCTGGGGGAGGGGGGTAGCCTGTAGCAGGTTCCCTTTCAGTGCTCCCTGTGTCCATGACCCCGATGTCAGGTTTTCCCCCTACCAAATCTGGGGACCCTCTATTGTTTTCACATGCAGAAGTTTACTTGACAAGACAGGTAAGGTTGAAATGATTTACCATGTTGCCCCTAACAGAAATCGAAGGCTTTCTCACCATGACTGCTGTGTCTTTATACTTTACTGATCACTCACATAATGAACAGGAATATTAACAATCAGTAGATAAAGTACAGCATTATCAAGCGTCCCAAAGTAGCTAAAACCTTCCTTCCACCTCTGTGCATCCGCCAAATCATTCTTGTCCCAACATTTGTCATCATGTCTTATAAATACTAGTTATATTACTGGGTAGATTACCAAACTCTTGTGCTAGCCTTTGGTCCCTTCCATGCTACAGATTCCAGCAGGCTGGTCATTTAGAAGAGAGGGTGCTTCCCGGCATTTCCCTTCAAAATTCCGTGAAAACAGAATTGTGTGTCTCACTTTATCCTATGAAAAGGACGAGCTGGTGGAGTCAAGACTGTCTTTTAAGCCCGAGGGGAATTCATCTTCAGGGTTGTGTCTGTACCGTTCAGAGCAACTCAATGAGTAGTGAGCTGCGGAAGAAAGAAGGATGTTTATTGTGAAGGGCTCGATAAGATGCTTCATCGGTGCCTTCCTCAAATGGTGTGGAAAAGTCATAAAAGGCATTGATTTATAAAAGCTCTATGGGACCCCGGTGGTTTCCCTCTTGCCTCAAACTGGTTCTTCCGGGTTTAGAACTACGAGTCTGGCACGCAGAGGGCCTATGGCGTGCTCACTGAAACATTCAATTCCACAAAGAATGGAAACAAAAACCAATAATGAGAAGGGTACATACCATTTATTTTACTTATGTCTCATTTTTTACCGTCCCAAGTAGATTTCTTTTTACTCACACTCCATCTGGTGCTGATTTTCATCCCTGGCATTTGCTTTGGAAGCCTGGCCTTGGGCATTTGGGGACATCACAGGATTCCATCCATTACCACATTTCTCTGACTTTTCTGTTTGTCTGTGATAAATGCAGACTTCACTAAGTGTGTTGCAGTCCTATAACACCATGCAGTAGACTGAAATTATATGAACTCCAATCACCCAACCAATCCGGGTAAGCTTTGAGAGTTATTGATTAGAATAAACTATTTGACCAACAACTTAATTACACTATCTACTGTATTGACTTTCTATTTAACTGAATTTGGGGGGCATTATTTCTAGGAGTTTATTCTTGATCGGCATTGCATTTATAAAGTGTCATTTACAAAACACTTATCATGCTTATTATCTCGTTTTAGGTCACCAGTCTCTTCAGAAGATCATGGTAAGAATCTGTTTTACTTATACTAATTCAGGATTAAAAGTTGAGCGCCGTTCTTGCATTTCATTGTCAGAGGCAAGAATTATCTGAGAAAATGTTTCTAAGACGTTGGCCTCATGTATTTTTTGTGTGTGAAATGTCAAGCACTTTAAAAACTCAATGCATCCTAGCTAAGTGTGATATCTCATAGTGTCTTCAAATCTGTATATAACCATTTTGGTGGACGAATATTACAAAGCTTAATTTATCTGCCTGATTTCTGTCCCATCACTGGATCCTTTTTGTGACTTGGGGCTAGCTGTGTAACATCTCTGAATCACAGATTTATATCTTTTAAAATGAGGGTTTGTAGTAGATATTCCCAAAAGTCCCTTCAGGATTGGATGTTGGAATTTGCTCAGTCTGAAATGAACCTAATTGGTAATGGTCTGAATTATTACCCAGCCAAGGTGAGTTATTTGCATTTATGACACAATTATTCCATTCAAAGGATAAAATGTCTAGTTTTGTCACATTTAACTTTGAGAGTTGTTCATTTTTTCCTTCAGTCATACAAAAATGTTCACTGAGTGTCTACCATGGGTCCGTTCTGTTATATAATCATGTTATACAAATATGCTGTTGGGGGCTATATGCAGGGACAATGTGGTATGTGACAGAATTGTCCCCCTCAAGGAACTTTATGAGTCTTGTGGCAAAGGGGTGGAGGAATGACACATACCTCTCTCAATATAAAGTGAGATGTGACTAATCTTATAAAAGAGAAATACACCAGGACCCTGGAACTACCGGCATTCCTCCTCCTGCCATCCCCAGGTTGGCCAAGGGCACCATTACCCCCTCAGCCAGCTAAGTAAAGCACATGAAGGCTCTGTAAACTTCCCCCCTCATCCCCTCGTTCTGTTTGGTCACCAAATGCTATTAACTCTGGTTTTTATATTCTTTTATCTCTATTCTCTTTTCCATCCCATGGCTATAGCTTGGGGCCTCTCCATGTCTTACTTGGACTTTTAAAATTGTCTTATTAACTGGTATCCATGTCCTAGTTTTCCATCCTCCAGTTCACTGTAGACTTAGCACCACACTTGACCGTTCTACAGCAAAAATCTACTCCCATTGCTTATGGGAGGAAATCTTACCAGTAGACAAATCATTGTATTCAGCTTTCCAATATTGTATCTTCACATGGAATAGAAATAGTAAATGATGAAACCTTTGTCTACCTCTACTGCTTATTGCTTCTTTTGGCCTGTGTTCCCCTTTCTGCTACCCATGCTGTATCCTCTCGCCATGTAGTATCATATGTAATTTCTAGACCTCACCATGTTTTCATGTTTGCCTGCTTTTATCGGTGCTGTTGTTTGTGACAGGAAGCTACTCCACTTTTTTGCAAGTTACACAGTTTATACTTACCATTTGAGACCTTGTTAATCATCTCATTTTCCCCAAGAGCTTTCTGACCGACTTCTCATTTGCAAGAAATATATTTCTTCTAGAATCTGACACATAGGTTTGATGCTTGATTTACCTGTCTCCCCTGCTAGACTGTGAGTTCTTTGACATAGATCCCAACAAATAGCCAACATTCAACAGATGTTCATTAAATGAATGACTTAGGACAAAGTGAGGGAGTTTTAGGCAGGCCTATTCTGTCATATCATAAGATCTCTCATAGTACTGAAATGAAGATGTATCACATTCTCTGAAGATCACAGCACAAATAATGTTTAGACCTGTTAAGTAAGAATTAGGAAACCAATCACCAAATAATGACCTATTATGGTATGCTGTTTTGCTCATTGGTGTTGGTACGACCAGGTTTTTTATTGCGTGGTTCCAGGTCCTTGGGCCTCCAAGTTCCAATGACTCAAAGCTTGGGTTCTGGTTTTTATTTTGAACTAGGGTCCCTCTAAATGGCCCTTGCTTGTTTTGACCTTCCAGTCTATTAGAACTTATCTTATCCCCTATTCCATAAAAAGGGGTATGTGGAGAGACTTCTGAATTGCAATTCTGTAGTTTGCTAGGAATTAAGGAGTTATGAGCCATCAGTGAGCATTGGTGGTGACCTTGGAAGTCCTTGAAAAATGATTACCACCAGAAAGACTTGCTCAGTATAAATAGTACTTCAGAATTGATCATTTTAAGACCCCATATAACTGGTTCTTAACTAGTATTAAGTACTTAACTAGTACTAGTAGAACTAGTTAAAGAAATATTAACCAAATTTGGGGGGGTTTTATTCTCATGGCTTCAAAAAACTTACTATAAAACCATGCCTCTTAGTTTGAGTCTGTAACTTCCAAAAATCTCTGCGAATATGTAATTTGAAATTACAGGGCTGATTTTTGTAATCTTATTAATTTTCCATCATCTTCTAGCTCATGTAACCTTGGAAACATATTCTTGTCCTTTTCTTTATCACCAGGATTTTCTGTTAGCACTTAAAATATGTTTTCTCATGTTTATGCATTTTTAAGTGTTCATTTTTTCTGTGGTTCACATTAAACCTCCCGAATATTCTGTCATCCAGTTTACATTTGGACACGATGATGACATTGCAATATGTGTGCTTTTAAAAATGGTAAGAAGTGACATTTTTACTTTCTCAAACTTAGTGATAAAAAAATTGAGGCTTATTGGGTAAATGGAGAGTGAAATTGGCATATAAAACCTCATGCCTCTTGACTGTTTTGTTAGCTTACTACCAATGACCTTTCTTTTCTCTTTAGTAATCGGTTACTCTGGATATCTTCAAAACAGACTTTGTTCTTGAGAAAATCTAATTTTCCGAAGTCTAATATCCCTGGCATTCTCAATTCTATGAAAGATTACCTTTCATAGAAAATAAGCTTGAATATCATGGCTCTTCATTTATCCTCTATTAGCTTTTACTTCCTTATCTGTGAGGTGGAGCTATTCAGGTCTACCCTGCCTATGTCATGGAATTAGGAGTTCAAGTGGGAGATCATCTGCGAAATCACTTTCCAGTTTGTTAAAAGTACCCCAAACACAATGCTATTATTGTCCAGGCAGTCAGTGCGGAGGTGTGAGTTGATTAGTGATATTTACTCAGCACTGCATACTTTGATAAGGTAAAAAGAGAGGTGCTTGGGTGGCTCAGTCTGTTAAGCATCCAACTCTTAGTTTCAGCTCGGGTCATGATCTCGCAGTTTGTGAGTGGAGCCCTGCATCAGGGATTCTCTCTCTCTCTCTCTCTCTCTGTCCCTCCCATTCAATCTCTCTCTCTCTCTCTCTCTCTCTCTCTCTCTCTCTCTCTCTTTCTCAAAAATAAATTCTCTCTCTCTCTCTCTCAAAAATAAATTCTCTGTCTCTCAAAAATAAATAAAAAATAGAGAAGTTTGGGGCGCCTGGGTGGCGCAGTCGGTTAAGCGTCCGACTTCAGCCAGGTCACGATCTCGCGGTTCCTGAGTTCGAGCCCCGCATCAGGCTCTGGGCTGATGGTTCAGAGCCTGGATCCTGTTTCCGATTCTGTGTCTCCCTCTCTCTCTGCCCCTCCCCCGTTCATGCTCTGTCTCTTTCTGTCCCAAAAATAAATAAATGTTAAAAAAAAATTAAAAAAAAAATAGAGAAGTTAAAAGATGTCCTGGGGGTGGAAGAGGGGCAGAAATCTGTTTCCTTCAACATTATCATTAGATACTGAATTTACATTGGAAACCTTTTTATATCGGGATGAGGAAGAGTGAAATGGTTTACACACAATGTAGCTTGTGGTGACAAAGTAAAGAAACAGTTCATGATTAGATGTGGGGTCGCATAGAAAACAGACCATATACGGCATAAATGAAATGTAACATGTTTCTATTTATATAATATGGAATCAGAGTCATTAAGAATAAAGGCTAAAATTTATTGAGCACTTTTTGTACAGAGGCACCGTACTAAAGTGCTTCAACTATATGAGAGTTCATTTCATCCCACAGTAGATGTGTTATTCTCAATTTTTTAGTGGAGGAAACAGACTCACAGTGCCTAACTAACTTGCTTAAGATCACACAGCTAGTGAGTGGTAGAGTTAATTTTCAAACCCAGTTCTAACACCCAGCCCTTGCTTATTTATGTCCCCCGTCTCTGGAAAACAAAAGAAATGATTGTCAGCGTTAAGGTGAATTGATAGAATTATAGAAGGAAAGGAAAAACTCCCTTTAACAAGAGTTTATTTACTACTGTGTAAATAATCTCTTTTTAATGACAAAACAAAACAGAACAAAAATAACAACCTGTCTCTCCTGCTGGGAATGATTTGTCCCTGTAGGAAAAGTAAATACCAATGTCACATTCTCTCATAATTAGTTAACTGAGTGAAACCGAAGCTTCAGGGAAACCTGCCACGCTAAATCCCAGTGGAAACATTACATTTTAATGTTACAGCTGCAAGCTGGAGTCCTCCCCCTTGTCGGGAGATAAGCTTGGCAGGGATTGATCGTCCTGTCCTCCGAGTTCCCTTTGCATTTAGTGCCTCTCACCTCATCGTTTAAATTGCTCCTGGAGCCAACTGCTGTGCCCAGGCGGCTTTGCCTGAGCTCTCAGATTCTGTTCTGTCCTCTTAGCCTGCTTATTTTATGGGCCTCTTAGGATGCCTCTCTCCTGACACTGCCTACACCCATGCACTGGCAGACTCATCTTCCAACTGATGTCTGTTCACGTAAAAATACAGAACAGTGGGGGCCCTTGGGTGGCTCAGTCGATTGAGTGTCCGACTTCGGCTCAGGTCATGATCTCACAGTCCGTGGGTTCAAGCCCGAGTCAGGCTCTGGGCTGACAGCTCGGAGCCTGGAGCCTGCTTCGGATTCTGTGTCTCCGTCTCTCTGTCTGTCTGTGTCTCTCTCTCAAAAATAAATAAACAACAACAACAACAAAAATACAGGACAGTAACTGACTCTTTTTTATTTAAAAGTTTTAAGTTTATGTATTTTGAGAGAGAGAGAGAGAGAGAGAGAGACAGCATGAGTGGGGGAAGGGCAGAGAGAGATAGAGAATCCCAC